CACAACTCGATATGCAGCGTGGGGTCTGTTTTCTTCTGTGTATGTCACTATATTTGCAGATGGACTTGGGTTACACAACGATCTGCGCATTGCTAAGCATGAGTCTAAAGTCACTCTATCCTGGAACAATAACCTCACAGAAGAAGAAATGGACATGTACAATGTGAAGTATGTTTTGAGTTATAAATTCTTCAATTCTGCTCAAGAAAGGAAAGTAAGTTTCCTTTACAATGGTTGCACATAGTTTAAAATGAAATCATATATTACTTCATTTGATAGATGTATTTGTATATTTCTCTTTTAGTGCCTAGTGCTATCTACATGCAACTCTTTCTTCCTCCTTTTAGGAAAGACTGCAGGAGAAGGAAAAGATAATACATCTTGGCTTACATTCTGGTTTTAGAGCCAAAGTTAAAACACAACTTTTTAAAAAAGGAACAGGAGACCTAATTAAGGAGAGTAGCTGGACTGAATATACTTACAAAGCACCTCCAGGTCAGCTATTTTCTGCCTACTGTTAAGACATCAAGCATTCACTATAATGTTCACCATCATTTCTAAAAGCTGATCGTTCACTTATGCCATTTTTTGGTACGCATTTGTTAAAAAGATGACACATGGCATCTTAGAATATCAATACGAAAGGATGTGGAAACATTACAGAAATTTTGTTAGACTTACTCAGATTCAGAAATCTCTAGCTTCACTGAGACAGCAGAATGACCCAACCACTCTCCATAGCAACTGGTGTCTCATGAACATTGTCTTCTGTGTCATAAAGGTGCAGGATGTCTTAAAAGGGGTGGAGACCTTGAGCTACTACTCCAGACTTTTTTGTTTTATTTTCTGCAAGAGGTCAGTAAGACTTTTGGTACAGAAGTACTTCTCAGTTGTCACTGTCCAAAAAGCTAAAAGGATTTCAAACACACTACTTAAGTGCTCTTCTAGAAATAATGATATCTAAATGATTTGTACTGGCATTTATCACTTCACTATTGGAAAAATAAATGTAAAATAAACAACATTTTCCTTCCCTCTCCCATATTTTTTTGTTGCAGTTTATGTTCAGAATCTTTCATGCATCATATACAACATTTCTTTTTTCAATTGCACTTGGCATATTAAAGCAGAGGCTCCTAAAGATCTGCAAGTGTTTTTTTCATTCAGGTAAGGATCTTGCACAAAATAAGTATGAAATCATGTTAGTTTGTATCTAAGTCTTAGATTTACAAGACTCTTATTTCTTTCCCACAGACATGTAAGAAAAGATTTTGAATGTCAGGAATATATACAAAATGCAAGGAAGAAGAATACTGGATGCCACATGAAAGAAATATATTTCCAACCATCAAGAAAAATCAGTTTAAACATATCTGTAAGAGATCTGAAAAATGATTCAAGAAGACAGTCTTATTACAAAACCTTTACACCTCAGACAATAGGTAAGTATTGCCTATTTTTGCTTATAACTTTTTTTTTTGTTATTTTGCATGAGCAGATAAGTTTGTTTTTCTGTCTTTTCCATTTCATTGTCAGCACCGGTGCGCTCCAATCACAGATGATTCAACCTTCAGTTCTCCCTTCTTTTTGAGTGCCAGGTCAGACTCTCATTCTAAATTTGAAAAGTGATACAGAGATGAGAGCTGTACACTTCTGCTACAAGGCATTGGCCAAACAGTAAATTGCTTTAACTCTTTGGTTAAAGAACTCTATTTCACTATAATTCTTACACTGAGCTAAAAGATTTTTAATACTCCCGCAGACATTACATGGATTAGTAAATTGAAAAGCTGATTCATCCTACGACTCAACTAACAGGCACAGGCCTGTTTGTTAGTTTTTTTTTACTCCTAAGATCCATTACCAAACTTTGTTAGTGTACACATAAATCTGGGCATGCCTGCAGGGGGCATTTTTCATGCTACAAGTAGTGTAATGATCTTGGAAGCCTCTAACATTGCAAGCCAGGGCTATATTCTCCCCACTGAAATGATAACTATGGCTTCTACCTCATGCACATCAGAAAAGTTTGTTCTTATCCAGGCTCTCATTAAGGCTCTCATTCTTATCCGGGCTCTCTGGCTGGATTTTATCCATCCTGCCCCTTACGCTGTGAGTTGCCATGCCCTGAAACAGTTTCATTCAGTAACAAGGAGTACTGTCTGAAAAAATAGGACTGAGATATATAGTCTGCATTATACAGAGTCCCAAAGTAACTCAAGTCTTTTGGGCTAAAAAAGTCTCTGATTTTATATCTTCAGACAATAGGTGACAAAAGGGACAAAAAAAAAGCAGCTTTCTACCCTTGGCATACTCACAAAAAACCAAGATGCTCTAGGAACTGTATATCAGAAGTTTAGGGTGAAAAATATGTCTTTGCTACTGCAGAAACTGGGCAATGAAGCTACTGCTTGCTTTCCTCATGGCCAGAGCCCTCAAAGACAGATTTTGATCCCTATCAAGCTTGGTGAGTTTCAGGGAGAGGCAGAGGAGGAGGCCAAGGAAGCACAGAGAGAAATGCTTTTGCTAAGTTTTTGGAACAGAACAAGGGATCTGTACTCAAAAGGGAGGAGACTTTTCAATGACGATCAGGAAAAGGAAAAGTGAAAAAGGAAACCTCATTGCGTCACACCTGTAGAAAGAGACAGGGTCCTATAGCAAGTGCCAATAGAAACAAAGAACAAACACAACTGCCACATGGACTAGCAATGCTGCCAGTTGTCCTCTCTCCTTTCTCTCTTTTCTCTCTGGTACCACCTTGCAATCACATAGGGCCCAAACTTAACCAGCTTTGCTCCACTGACTTGTGATGAGCTTCTGCCTCTTCTGGGAGGACTTTTTTGGAGAACTCCAACTGCATGTCTTTGCTTCACAGAAACACACTAATACCTTGAGATGCTTCAGGTTTTCTGCACACTCCTAACATCAATGTCCTAACACTAACCCTGCTGGGGAGCAATTGGAAACTTTCTTGACTATAATCAGGAGATAAAGTCAGTCTTCAACTGAAATGTCCCTTTTTTTCAATCCTGTACTCCTTTCCTCCCCACACTACTCACACTTCATGTCTGGAGGATAGTGGTGGAGGCAGGACTTTTTGCTGTTCCTTACATCACTTAAGCATATCTTGTTCCAAAAGAAAATCATTCCTCTGTAATGAGTGCTCATTCACTCACTTACAGAAGAAATAAAGATATTTCTTAAACATGTGTAGCAAACTTCATATACCAAAAAAGACTTGCAAGAAGAATTCCTTCAGTAATTCCTCAGTGAGAACTGAGGAATTACCTTTTTTCAAGGTTACAGCACCAGGCATGGACACAGATTCAGAGTTTGGTTTATACTAACTAACTTGGATATTGAGAGCAGGGTACGTGTAGGAACAGGAAACAGGAAAACAGGAAACAGAATCCAAATATTTTATGCTGAGTGGATTCTTCAACCTGAGTTTAAGTTCATGAGGCTATTGCTGTCTTTTAATGTTATGTTAAATCTTTCTACGTTAAACTATTACATATTCTATCCTCATAACAGAATTCACTAGTTTATCTACACAAGCTGTAGTCACAGCAGTGTGCCACAGATCTACAAACATATCCAAAGATTTCAGTCAGACCTTACTGAGTGATAAGGGATATGGAAGAGGATAATGCCTGACTTTTCCAGATAGTCTACTGAAAATGCAAGGGTGTTCACCAGAAATCCAACAAGTACCTAAAAGGCTGTAATCAGACTTTGGTCTGATTCAAGTGTTTAATAAGAGACTTTATTTGTGTTGTTATTTAGGATAGGCAACCTTTTCCAGAATTAACTGAGCAATGGGCATACTATTCACAGCACCATGGACCATGGGACTGTTCTGCTGCCTTTTTTTTTTTCCTTTAAGAAAAGAGAAAAGAGTTCCTGAAAATCTGAACTTTCCAGGTCTGTCCATGTTAATGCTGTTAAATCTAGTGCAATCAGACAGTTTGTGAAGCATAGCAGAAAATGCTTTTCTTCCTGACAAATTCCAAAGCCAGATTTGGGAAAAATATTAGGAATATGACTTTGCTTGATTATCCCAGTGCAATCAGAGGCATAAACTTGCAAATCCACCCATAAGCCCTGAAGGTCAGACCAGCACTTGCAACACGCTGTGACAGTTCCGCTTTTACACCAGTGCAATTTTTTGTTCCTGCAGCCCCTTGATACTAACCACACAGTTAACCAAGGAGCTACTGCCAGGAAACTATGTAAGAAAAGGGACAGGGGAAGATTTTTTGATGTGAAGCTGCTTTCTTTGGTGAGAAGTGAGCTCTGGGTGACGAGTTGGCATGGTGGCTCAGCAGCCACTTATCCCTGTTAGTGATAAGTGAGGGACAAGCCTGGGAATGGGGCTGCTGCATAGGATCATCCGCATGGTCTTTTCAGCATTGTGGCTAAAGCTAGGGAGAACTATAACTGCTCTGGATCAAGCAGAGGTTGAGGCTGCTGGGGATGTGTGTGTATGTTGGACTGCAAAGCTACCACTGTCTAACAGCAGCACGGCCAATATGCTATATGTGTTGTCAGTAGTGTGGCAAAGTAGCTCTACACAGATCACACGCGTGCCTGCATGGATCATAATTCTACCTACACATAGCCAGCTTCAGAAATAGAGCAGGACCAGAAACCTCTGGAGGAAACAAGGAGGTTTCAGAGCGCAGCCCTCCCACCCCCACATGACTAGCTAGTATGACTAGCATCGTCCAGGCACACCACAAGACACCATGGAAATAGCCCTGCTTGGAGGGCACATTTGTCCTGCCCCTGGAAATGCCCATGAGAGAAAAAAAAATCCTCTCTTGAGGCACTCTTGAGCCACTTTGTGAGCAGCATTTTTAAAGAAAACATCAGAGTGCGCCTTTTTGAGGTATGACAAACCCCTTTTTTGTGGTATCATAAACTCCAGAGCAGTCAGCTGTGTATTTTAAGGATTGACACATTGCTTGGTTTGCATGAGCGTAAACCTGCGTAACCGCATGAGGTACAGAATCTTGTGCTCATTTTCAGAGAAACTGAATCCCCCGGTCAACGTCTCAATTTTTCTTGAAAACAGAAGTATTAAAATTCACTGGAACCCCCCGCCTACTATTGGTTCTGCAAGAAACAGGTGCTTTATGTATCAAGTGAAAATTACAGATCGCAAGGTAAACAATGCTGCTGTAACACAACTAATTTGCCTAATGTAACTTCCATAACAAGTAGGCACCTCTTGAATTTAACAGGATCAAAACAGAATCAAAATTCTAAGAAAGCTAAATGTCTTTCGTGAATAATGCAATCTTTTTTTTTTTCTTTCTGGTAAAAAAAAGAGATACTGAGTCACTTTATGAAGTTTATGGATTCATTTTGGCATTGAAGTGGACTGATTGTTTTGCTTTTTCTTGCTGAATTTGAATTGTACTTTAATTTCACATAGGCTATTGATATTTTGTTTGTTTATTGAAAGATACATATCTATAAAATAGCCAGTGTAATAATATTATTTTTAAGATGAAAATTCTAAGGCAACTATTTGTGAAAACTGAGAAAAAGAAGAAATGATGGGAAGCTTTTATTCAGAAGGGCTATTTTCAGCCTAAAAAATATATTATGAAATATGTATTTGAAAAACGTATATTATGAAAAATGTTAACCACTACTAATTAATTTCTATTCAAGGATATGACTGCCAAGTTTGATAGTCTTTAATAGAAAAAAAAGCAGCACAGCTGCAGTTACATTTTTAAAATATTACCACAGGTTTGCAGGAAGTTAGATGATATGGATCGATCAGACAGTAACTTAGCTCTTTATGTAATACTGTTTAATCTACAGTTTATTTTCTAAGACAAAAAAAAATAGTTCATAATTTTACTCTCTATCACTAGCTCTCTTTCTTGTATCTGAAGGATGTTAAACATTTTAATCACTATCACAGCTGTATTATTTACCTGATATTATGAAGTGTTACTCAAAATACATGACTATTCTTTGTGAATTTTCACTAACATGTTCTTAGCGAGTCAACTGAAAATTTTGGATCAAAGTCACGATTTGCTTCAAAACAAAGGACACTAGAGGTAAAGAGTGGAGAATGGTTTTACAAAATGCTTTTTTTAAAGAAGAGTGTAAATAAGATTCTATCATACACTGAGAATTTTGAATTCTGTTTCTGCCTGGATAGTACCTCTGCCTTCTTGATGTTGCCCCTGAATCTTCAGATAACGCATCAAAAGCATCTCTGCTAGAAAAATGCTCATAGATATTTTCAAGTACTTCACTTTCTAGAGAGAAACTTAAACATGTGCTTGGTGACCCCTTGATTTGAAGTCTTGCTTCATAATGATGCATTTTACAAGAAATTAATTAATCTTAAAAATATCATATCAATTAAAAAAAATCATCCCATCAGAGTGGAATTATGCTCTCAATGTAGTACTCAAAACTCAAACATATTTGATAAATTGAGTTGCAATTATAATTTGTTCCTGAAATTTTTAATTAGGTTTCAGCCTTGTGGAGTTTTCTCTTGTATTTAATTCATGTTGTATTCAGTGAATAATTCATGTGAAATATATGCATGTATCCTTGCAGGATTATGCTCATAATTTACATGTCAATGTTGTTTGTTCTAAATATTTTCAGTGAAAGAAATCAATTTTGCTGTTTGCATATCTTGTATATATTTGAAAAATATTAATACTGTAAAAGAAGTTCCACTTAGTTTTAACAGAAAAAAAATAGTGTATATAGAGTGTTCTAATTTGTGTTATACAGCAAAGCAGCATTCAGTTCATTTCCATTTAAATTTCCTGGCACTAACAGTTGAAAAATTTTTATTTTTCATTTGGCAGGTATATTTGTATTTCTCAACATTCAGAATAGAAAGAGAGGCACTTAGTTCAGACTATGATAGTTACGAAATTCAGATGTTCCTATGAATAGGAAATTTCAGGATGGTTGATGCTATCATTCAATGTTTCCTTTAACCTTTAAATTTTTTCTCTTTTTTTCTTTCTTTTTTCTTCTAAGAAATTAAATCTTAGCTGACACTGCATAATACTCTAACAATAAGAGACTTTTCTAAACTGACTGCAAAAGCCTAGCAGGAAATTAGAGTGTGTGAAAATGTATGACTAGGTCGATAATGTACCACTCTTTCTTAGACAGATTAGGAACCAGAAATGCAATGAGATAGACACATTACTGGTCATGTTTGATAACCCCACCCATAACTGATAAACCACAAAAGAGTTTATTAATTCAGAGACAGTGCAAAATTAATACTACCAGGCAGATTCCAGAGAAGCTTTGGCTCATGCTTCCCCTGCAAGTGGAAAACGAGTTTATGTCTCTCTGTGGATGTGCCAAGCTTCTCAGCCCTTTGGGCTTTCCCAGAAGGAAGACAGGTAGCTTTCTTCTAGGTCATCTCTTCAACTAGTTATAAACTCCTTAACTAAGTCTAATTCAAAACCCCATCCTGAGACATCTCAGAGGTTGTCTCAGTCCATTTCCCAAAGTTTCTAATCACCAGTAGCCATGAATAAAGTGGGCACTTCACTCTTCAGCCTGCAGCGTCCACACAGCCATCACAGCCCATGTTTCCAGCTTCCTATTGCCTTCCCTTCTTCCTTGACTGAGTATCCATATGCAGGCTTGTAGATACTTGTTTAAGAACAGGTAAAAAAGAGAATGATAAAAATATGCAAGGTTAATATTTATTTATTCTGAAGGTCAGAAGAGATGCTGAACATTTACATGTATAAATAATAATACCATGATATGAACTGATCAGATAAAAAGCGAGAAAGTAAAGCCTATACATCACAGGAAGCTAGAAAGAGTTGGCGAGTATAGTGGGAAACAATGAAAATTCAGGCTATTTGATAAGTCTGAAATTAACAAGTCAAAATTCAGTAATAAGTAAAATCCTTAAATTAGAAAGCACAGGTCAAATGTGTAAACATAAAATAAGGAATTAATATGTAGGCAGCAATGCAGAAGAAGAAGAAGAACAACAACAAAAAACTGTGGATTATATTGAGCCACAAAATGAGTCAATAATTCCATGCTATTACACAAACCTCAAATGTTATTCAAAAAATGTCATTCAAAAAATGTCAAATGTTATTCAAGTGCATGCACATTTAAGACGTAAGTTGTGACTAATTTAGTTTTCCTGGTACTGAGCTCCATCTGAAGTTCCAAATTTTGCTTTTGTACCACCCCTTAGGAAATACAAACATATTGCAAGGAAGTTGAGAGAATACCAGAAAGAGTTCTCAGAATGACCAGAAATTTTGAAAATATGGTCTAAGAAAGAAAGACAGAAGAAAATAGTCTACAGAAAAATATAAATAACTTGTATTAATCCCTTCTCATGTATAAAAGAATATTGAGAAGACCATTGGTATTATATTTATCCATGTCAATTTATGAGTAGGATAAAAAGCGAGTGATTTCACAAATTGTGAAAAGTATTCTAATTCCAGGGAAAGTGTAACAAAGGAACTGGCCCTTTAGGAATCCTAGGGTGGCTATATATAAAGAATCAGAGGAGATCAAACAAGCACCCTTCAAGAATGGTCTAGGGAGATATCACTTAGGGTACACGCATATCGTTATTGCCAGAAGACGGCCTATGTAATTTTTCAGTCTGTGCTTTGGTAATTTCTTATGATGACTTAAGCTAATCATTTGTTCCTTAGTGAGAGATTTTTCTGGCACAGAGCTTAGTTAGCATTTAACCCTCTAGTAATGTGCTTTTCAAAATCCTCATATCCCACCTTTTTACTTACTTTGAAAAAACTTAATATATGAACTTTTGGATCTGTTTCTGACACCAAGTCTGGAAGAAAAGTCTCAAAGGATTTGAAGGAGGAGAGACAAATAGCACAGTAAGCAAAGTCAAAACCACACTGTGGTCAAATCCAAACTAGACTGTGTGTAAGTGCTAGGGGAACAGGAGGTGGCCTCTTCTTAAATGTGTGATGTAGTAGTATCTCATCATGCTTCCCTGTCATCAAAGACGCACAGACATAAGATGCAAAAATTCTGGGCCCCTCTCTGTCGTAGATGTATAAATCTACTCCCTCACAACTTCTTAAAATTATTGCTAATTTTTATGAGCAGTAGTCTTCCATTCTTTTTTTTTTTCTCCTTCTTAAACTCTTAGCATTATTTATTTGCAATAATCACTTCAGTTTTCCAAAGTGGCCAAAGATGTAAAAATCCCTGATATTAACTATGACAGTCCTGGTCTGGGCTTTATTTTTTAAAATGATATGCTTTGATTTATAAGCACAATTTAAGTTATTGCAAGATAGGCATTAAATACCATTAGTAGCTAATGGTGATTAGTAGCTGAAAAAAACAACAACTTTTATTCTGACAGAAGGCCAGGTACAACACACCTTCTAAACCAAAACCCTCAAAACTTGATTTCATAATTACTGTGTTCTCCATACATTCAGTGTGATATAAAATGAAAGAGGAATCAGTGCTTTCAGGTTCTTAATATTCTATTATAGCTGATACCTTCTTCCATCTTCTCAATTCTGGTCTATTCTTTATTTTCACACCATACTTTTAGAACATGTCAGGTAGAAATCAGATTGTGTCTGGACATAAACACTAATTCTGAAAATATTTTTGCTGGATTTGAGATACAAACAATGGTAAATGAAATCACTAGATTTATATGTGTCCGAATTGCAATGTAAAATCACCTAAATGTATCTTGCTAGCCTGTAAATGTATCTGAAGAGAAATATGAGTATCCATTCCATAAACCTCCATACAAATGTGCAGCACAAGTGAGGGCAAAGAAAGAAAAATGCATAACAAACAAGATTTGGAGTGAATGGAGTGAACCAGTGTTTATTGATGATGGTAAGTTATCATGTGTTTACTATTTGTAACTCTTAGAATTATATATTTTGTTTTGATTTAGTATATTTATTTCTAATCCTTTTCTTCTCCTTGCTGTGTATTTTACCATGGCAGGACCACGTGCCATGTACCAGACCCTAACAGCTCTAGGCTCTGTAGACAAAGGCTGTCCTTGATTTAATGAGCTATATTTCATTTATCTACAGCAGTTTTGCACCTGGGCAGTTTTGCACAGGGCTGTGGCCCTGAGGTAAATTTCACCTGAATCCTGACAGCCTTTAGAAAACAAAATTTTTCAGCAGCTTAAAATCATGTATGAGTCACCAGTCCCTCCTGTCTGCTTTGCAATGGACAGCCAAACAGTCAATTTACAACTGCTTTGAATTGGAGTTACTAACCCTCAGAAAACACAATAACACCATATGCATCGCATAATCTTTAAGGACTAAGTTAAGGACTAAGTTTTAGGCCTCATACTGTATCACCAAGACAATTTCTTATCTCACAGAGCCAGGAAGCACTTTAGCTGTCATTTTTATAAATGTGTATTTGCCCCCCACAATCTATTTTAGCACCAACTAAACAGAAGCACCATAATACTTTTTTTTTTTCCCCCACATCCTAAAACTATTTTTTAACATTCATACTCTAACAAGGAGAGCTCCTGTGTTTTCCATGATAAGAAAACCACCTCCACATGAAACCTCGTATGTCAGGTTGGGCAAAGGGGAAGTAAACTAATGGAATGAGTAACACCACATATTTATGCAGAAAAACTGGTGCATAGACCGTTTCTGTTAGTCAACACACAGAACTGTACAATACTGTTGTTAATACAACAAAACCAGGTTAATATACATTTTATGCAACAGACTATGTATTTTGGCATGTATCTTTCTGATCTGTGCAGCTTCAGTGACATTTTTATCTGCAGATACCAGAAATATGAGACAAGACATTGCTATCTTTGCAATTTATTGAGCTAAAATTCAGTTACCGGGTTTATAGGAGTCATCCACCCTCTCAGATGAATCACCACATCTCACTTTTCTGTTGGCAGTTTCCACCTACTACCTCTTTCGGTCCAGATTCATTCAACCTAACTGGAAGCATTTCATTAGGTTTGGGAGAAAGAAACCTAGGTGCTCCATCCCTGTGTTGAAGGAAAGAGAGCACATTTCAGCCCATCAAAGCTTTGAATCTACCTTTGGAGATGATTCTTTCTTCCCCCTGAAGACAGAGGGAAGCTAGTAGGGCGGCACAGCCAGCAGAAAGGTCTGCCCATTGCCTAGTGGTAGGTTGAATGCCTCTGACCACTGCATATGCAAGAGAAGGAGGGAAAAATAGTGCTTTTTATAGCAGGAGAAGGTTTACTCACTGCCTGCCAACATGTCACAAGAGAAAGAAGAAGTAAATGGAGCTGATCCGCCACCCATCCTGACTCAGGCGGCCAACCCTGCTTTTGGCAGCTGCAGCTGCCCTTCAACTGTTTTCGACGCCGCTGCCTTCCCAACTTCCTCTACAGCTGCTGTTGAGGCTTAACAATCACAGCTCGTTTCCTTCACACCACCAAAGCTTAAAACGGACTGCACCGCCATCGCCTATAAACTATAACAGCTCCATGTGTTCAGCGTAGTGCGTTGATTTACCTCTGGAGCATTCTGCACATATACCCGAGCTCATGTAATACAGGCAATTTCCTTTTTCCTTCCTGTACTTAGAGAGGATCAGTGACTTTTGTAATACAAATCTATGAACTATATTACACTGAGGGCTCACAGGCTGAGGCAATCCTGCTTAAACATCTCCTTTGATGCCCAGAGAAAGCTCCACATTCCTTTGGGCTTTTGGGGCATTTTGATTTGGGCTGCTTCTACTTATGAACATGTATAACTGGACATTACAAAGTACATTTTAATACTGCCTAGATTTTAAGAAGTTATTATCAGCAGTATCATTCATGTTAACTAATGCAAACCACATACCTATTTTCATAGACACAGTGGATTTCCTGGAGTAACCTGGATGGAAAATATCCATTTAGGATTTTTATTTTTAAATGTGTTGTTTTTTTTCTGCTGGAAATTATAAAACAGCATGAAGTGACCTGCTGTTTGTTTGCTTCTACGGGACATTCCAGTGTTTCATCTGGAAAAGATGTTGCATTTCTTTAAACATGCGTTTTTTAAGAGACATTTCACCTTCAATTTAAGAAAGCTGAAACATCAAAATGAAGTAACATAATTCAAAGCAAAACTAAAATATTTATTCTGAAGTGTTCCTTTGATTTGAAAAGAATTTGTTAATTTTTCCGTGGGAAATAGATTCATTTTCCATTGGAATTAATATATGCCCTTGAAAACATTCAAACTAAACTGAACTGATTTTTTCAGCATGGAAACTCTATTAAGAAATGTTTAATAAGTTTTACTTATATATAGAAACTTGAAATAATTAATCTGATTCTTAGAGCTCCTGAGCATTCATAGAACACTTTGAAGGTAGTAGAAATTTAGAGGTGCTCTGCATTTTGGCAAGCCAAGACACTTATTTTGGTATCCAAACTTTTTTTTTGGTGGCTAAAGTGAAACATTGCATCTGAAAGAAAAAAATCATAAAATGTTCTGTTCAAAGGAATACAGGTCACTCTTTTCCCCCTATTTTCCAAAATTCATGAGGTAAGAGAATGAGAGAACCAAATGCCCCCATGGTTTGGCTGACTGAAGGACCACCGTTTCCTCTTTTCTGGAGTGTGTACGTGACAGATGGCTAGCATAACAAAGCAGAACAAACACCTCAAACACTGCCCAGAGATCATTCAGGACATATTTTTTGAACACTCATCTCAAAAGAGGACAAGGCAAATAAAATCCCCTCTCATCTCTAAACAAATAAAGAGTAGTTTTGTATTGTAAAACATTAAGGTTATTCTTAGAGGTAGTTTTGCCCCAAAGTTTGTGATTTTTTTTCTGGTTTAATATGAGCTTTGTGTAAATTTATAATACCATTGGTTTAAACTACTGGTTAAAACTAGAAATTGTTATTCAACTCTTTTTTTCTTTGAATTTGATCTAGATTGATCCTAAAACCATAGTTTAACTGGCCTAACATTGTTAACATTTTAAGAGCTGTTCCTGCCTGCTTTTCTTCAAAGTGCTTAGCTCAAAGAAATCCAAATCCTACTTTTGATTCTGAAGCTGGATATTAAACAAAAAATAAATTTGACAAGAAATAAGGTTTTGGGACAACCAATGACTTTGTTATTTTTGATGTGGCGGAAAGAATGGAAGGCACGGAGTAGTTATATCTGTTGAACAGTAAAAACATATATTTTTAGAATGTTTTGTTCACACATTTTTAGGACTTGGCCTAACAGGGTTAAAAAAGGTAAATATAATGAAAACCAAATGTTGCTTCTTTGGTCAAAGAGAATATTTTGTTTGACAGAAACCTTTTATTTTCATTTTGCCTTAAATGAGTTCCAGCTGTGAAGTGGTGAGGAGGCAGCTGCA